ACCCACCCACCCACGTACACACACACACACACACACACACACACACACACATATATATTGAATATATACATATACATGCACACACATACACATATATATTTAACCGTGAGTTTAAAAAAAAAAAAACATCCCCAGAAGCATCAGGGTAGAAATTAGTCAAGGAGAAGGACACAAAGGAAGAGAGAGCAGTGGATTTGTGGACTAGTCCTTGAAAGATATTTCATGTGCAATGGCAACTTAGAAAAAGTGATACGTTTAAAGCCAAAAAACATAAACATTTATTTTTATGATTAAAATCAACACAATATGTTAAGCATTTATCAAGTCAACATATAAATGACAAGGATCTGAACCACTTAGGAGAAGAGGACATATTATTCACTATTAAAGGAAGATTTCACTTTAAACATTTCCACTGCAGTTGATATGGCCTGATTATTCTCTTTCTAATTCAGGTATAACTAGATTTAGTGGAAACACAGCACCGTTATCAGAAGGTAATGAAAACTGTGGTATTTATAGCTCCACAGAAAAAGTCAAAATTACAACTCTTTTGAAATTGCCTCTCCATGAATGGCAAGCAATATAGGGTTGAAGTGATGCATCTGCACTCAGAGGATTCTCTTGCAACTTCTTGCCTAGTTGTAATAGCCTCAGATTCCCAAGTCTCCAACCAGGAACATCACAGCACTGACAAGTGGCACTAGACTGCTTCCTTTCACAAGACTTGATGACTGGGAGCAGCAGGAGCAGCCTGTAGTGATGAATGTTGTAGGGGATCCTGGGCTATTAAGCAGCCCAGTGGCAGTGACTTTCAAAGAGCTTACATCTTATTCCCAGTCCTTCAACAAGTACTGTGTGTGACCTGCAGCAAATCAATTAATTTCTTTATATCTCAGGTTCTCTGTCTCTGAAATATCATCTTTCTTAGAAGGGCATGAAGGACTAAATTCATTCCTGTACCTAAAATTCTGTAAAAATACAAAGTTATGATGGTCATAATTTATTATCTTTTTATTTTATTAGGTGTGTTTCATACCATTTTTCTTCCAATTTATTTTACGTGTAGTAAAAGTTACATAAAATGCTTCAACAGATAAGACTTACCTGGGTGTCTCCTACCAACCACCCAGTTCTTTCCAGAACCAAGGACAGTGTCATCAATGTATCGGGGTTGGGCAGAATAATTCGGCTTTGGTTGAGGAATCGGACAATTCCGGTAAGGGAGTCACTCTTTGCAATAGTGATTTGGCTCACTAGGTGGAGCCCAAGGACTGCTCCACCAGTGGCTCCTATCAGCTGGATTTCAAACTGCTCATCAGATTCCCTGTATCAAAGAGATCATGACATTCTGAGAACCTGACAATATGGACTAAACTACACCTGAAAATCTTGTCATTGGCCTGAATGGTGATACACACCCAATATGTGAAATACACACAAACAAAACATTGTATTAAGTTTGTTTTTTCTTCATCTAAAACCATGAGATTTGAAAGGAATAAACATGCTATTTCATTCTTTTACATTAAATTGCTTAGTTTCTTAGGCACACCATTTTTATAATTTCTGACAAATTCATATAAATGATTTTTGATAACCTAAGCAGGAAGCCAGTGATTTCTTGATTTGCATTATATTTTATGAGAATCATGAAGCTCTAAGGGCTAGTTTTACATTTTAAAATCTTCTCAATTTTTTAGCACCGCTACAAGACATCCCTATTCCTGTCAGAGTCAGCAGTTTGTTCTATTAAATTCCATGTATAAGCAGGTAACATAATAATAATAAGTTAGTGAATATATATCTAAACAATTAATTCATCCAAAACAGTTACCTTTCATCATCATCTATGATGGAAACATTGATAAAGCTCCGGTTCTGGCCATGATGGAAGATTACAGAATCATTATTCACAATGTAGTCAACACCAGGGAGTGCAGTAATACCTCGAGAGATAAAATCAGCTGTCACATAGCCATAAGTTCCATGCTTTCTCAGTACAGGAATCATGATCATCCCAACATCCTCTTCCACTGCAAAAGCAATTCAGAGTAAACTACTGAACAGAAAGATCATGTTCTTTTGAGATGTAGCTTCTTAAATTATACATGCTGAGGTATTACCAAAGTACTAAAGCATCCCAAATGTGTGACTGAGTCCTGAATGCCCACTTCCACTCACACCTGCAAGACATTCCCTAGTACTTGGTTCAGTCCACAAAGGGGCTGTCTACACTGTGGCAGTCAGTGCTCAGGAACATCATATTATGTAAACAAATCCCCTCACTCATATGAGCTGTGCCCAAAAACTGCTACAGAGCAGTTCTTTGGAGCATGCCCAGAGTGCACTCAGTACTGCTTCTCAATATTTTACTCACAGGCATGTGCTCATGAGAGCTGCGCTGCACATATCTAGCACTATTCTAAGGGTGGCTATATGACATTGTTTTTGGCATACAGAACAAGAGCAAGTAGTGAAATCTGTATTTGTAAAAGTGCTCTTCAGTACTTTTTGACATGGTGGTGACATGCCAACAGTGTCCAACAATTTTAAAAATGAACAAATGGACTTTATCTTGTTTCCTGTAGCCTACTGATGAATATTTTCTTTAATCAAGTAGGCAAAGAAGCACTGAATGCTATCAAGGTATGCTGCATTCCTAGGCTCTCTTTTTGTTCCATTGTAAGTTTTAATATACACTGATCAAAATCAATGCAAGTAACTAAATTTTAATAACTGAATCAGTTACAGAGGGAATGATGACACTGCACAGCTGTAATTTTATTTTGTTGCATGTTGGTCTGTGGTTCCCTTAGTAACAGATTAGTAGATTATGTTTTTATCGTACAGAATGATGACTGTGGCAACTGTGAGACCACAGGTATGCCAAAGTATTAATTCATTATGTTAAGGACATTCAAGGTAGTCTTATAGCACATCATAAACAAGATAAAAATGTATACATTAATGACATCATCTTGAGCCGAACCAGATCCATAAGCAGATGGTAAGCTAATGCAGTACACTAAGCAAGAGTGGAATGTATTTTGGGCAACTTCCAAAACTGAACACGCAAGTTACCACATCTAGAAATAGCTGAGAGTTGCAAGGGATTTTGAAGGAAAACTTTAAGTAGAGCTTCATAAGGCAAGAATCAAACATGTTAGTGGTGTAGGTACAGATATTTCCAGAGATTTTGCATATTATTGGTAATATAAAAAAACAAATGCAATCCCAGTTCCTTGCTCAACTCTAATGGACTTATTAACTAGAATTAATTTATGCCAGTATGTTCTCTTTAAGTGCAATATACTTTTAACTTAAAAAACTTAGAAAGTGCAAACTTTGATGATACCCTAAGTAAAATTAATGATAATGCTGCTCTTAATGATGATGATGATAAATAACAACATTTTAATGCTTTCAATACTTTCAGTTGATTCTTGGCTCCAGCCAGGGACTGAACCAGGGTCTTGAACCAGCCTTGGTGCAGGCCAGGGCCAACAATCAGCTGTGGACACCTGGCTTTCCCCCTACTTTTTTGCTGTAGGGGGAGCCCCACCTCATGATCCATGGCTCCCCCCTACCCTGGAGAGTAGAAAGGGCAAGATTAGGATACAATTCCCCCATCCTAAACTGCACTTCTTGCCATGCCCATGTGGCACAGCTGTTGGGATTGGGGATCAAAACCTATTGCATCTTTAAACAAATGTGTTCCAGGGCCTGGATTACAATGTTTATCAACGAAGGCAAAGACACAATATACAAGCCCTTCCTTTCTTACAATGGCTGAGAATGAAAAACCTAATACTATTTTTATTTAGAAAAACATATCACCCTAGACAGGAAATAGTAATTGAGCAAACAGTAAATTGACATTTACACTATATTTACCAAAGGAGAAACAAAGGTGTTAGAAGCTTACCAGAAGAACTTCATGTAGGTTATGGCAGAAACAAGAATACAATTCAAAAAACTTGATTCTCAATCCTGTGTCCTGGAAACAAGCCTATCTTTTTAAACACCAGTTTAAATGTTAACCCACCTTGCAGAGAGATATACTGTGGATCAAATTCAATGATACCCTCTGCATTGTCGTTTTTTGTTATAATGATTCGAACTGTGGAGACATTTCCTATTTCTGGGGGCTGGTCCACCTGTAGTCCATCTTCTCTAACAGTAAAATCAAATCCACTTGCAAGGTCATAAAGAAGAAAATAAAATATATTAGCTTTTATAAAAGGGGATAGTTTACAAAACCTACATGGGACTATAGATTCAATAAGTATTTTTGTTCTTTTTACAATTATTGTTTCTACATTCCTGCTCTTACCTCCTTCCCTTCCCCTCCCCACACCTCCCAAACCAACATTAGTGCAAGACAGTAGCTTATTTCTGGAAGTGGGTGCCTTTTTCTTCTTTTCAGTTCCATCTGCACCCAATCTGAAATAGTCACATAATTGCCTGATTGCCCCCCGAGAACAGATGGTAACAAAGAAACCAATCATTAACAAGATTATGTTTCTAAAGATAAAAACATAAAGCCTTGAATCTGCACAGGTTCAAGTATTAAACATTTGGTGTATGACGACTCCTGTTGTTGACATACAAGATTAGTTGAGCACAGTTGCTATAATGGTCTGTTATGGAATTGAGGCCAAAGCTTTTCATGCCCCATGAAGAGAGATTTCAGAAAGGTTTAACAAAATTCCCATATGGGAGTCTACCAAAAATACTAGCATGCTAACGTTACACATATGTAACATGTTTAGGAGAGAAAAATAGTTCCATTTTAGGAAATTCAGAATAACTGGCAGGTATGAACTGAACCAAATGTTACTTATTTGCTGCAAGTAGAATGAGCTTTGACAATTCTAAAACATCAGTCATTCTACAATAAGACATGCCACTAGCCAGCTGTAGAGGTGGATGATTTCAAAAGATAAAGGAGGAGTCAGATAGCATAAGCATGGCAAGAATAGTTTGACTGAGACAAGGGTTGCATTCATCTTAAACTTGGACTTTGCTTTTGTTTTTTTTTTATTTCGTCTTTTTTTTCATAGTTTCATAGTTTCTAGGGTCGGAAAGGACCTGA